CAATGAAGATGGGACCTCACAGGTTTCAGTATATTGGCAACATTTACTTTTTTATTCTAAATTCTCTAGAGTCTGTCAAGATTTCCCATAACCGTCTTCTGTTCCCCTCCAACTGCCTATCGAATGTTCGTGCAACATAAACTGTCCAGGTAAGCAAAAGCAGACTGTCCTTGTTGGTGTATTTGTCAAAACAGTAGACCAAATGCTCATCTCACCTTGATTTTATTCCAAATTTACAATAGCATAACAGTAACACAGATCATGTGTTTCTCAACATTTTCAATCTTAAGTATTAGAAACAAAGTCAGAATAAAGATTTAGAGGTAGCTTAACCATTTTTTTTAGATTAGTTTTTGTTTAACACTGTACAGTTCAACTGGTATGAATAGGACTCAGTAAAAATTTTGTTCTTATGTAGAAAGAGCCTCACAGTACAGGAATACAGTAGTGTGCGGGGCAGAACAGATGGATGACTGCCAATTCTTTGTTTTCTCTTTCCCACTAAGCTACACATTCAAAAGCCTGCGACACTGTGTGAGTGCTGGGGAGCCAATCAACCCTGACGTGATGGAAGAATGGAAAGTGCAGACTGGGCTGGATATTCATGAAGGCTATGGACAGACAGAAACAGTACGTACTGCTTTACAAACGTAAAAATGTATGCTTTACAGCAGAAAATTCTACTCGGATTGACAAGAAAAAGTGATTAAAATTATTATACACAGTTATGACTTTTAGGGGAAAAGTCAATTGCAATAAGCAACACTGGAAAATGTAATTTTTGTAAGTCGTAGAACAATTATAACAGCTTGACCCAAACTCCAAGGACTGTTTTTCATTCCTGTGGGCTTCGGATTGGGAACTGACACAAAAGGGGTATATTCCTTATTACTGCATTCCACATTCTGCTTTAGAGCACTCACGTTGTTTGGAGGTGTGGGCATGATTCTGAGGGCATAGTTTATTTGTAGAAGGTTAATCATTGGATATTTATTTCTAGATGTTTAATCATTGGATATATGATTATAATGAAGTCAATTAGTATTTCTTATAGAAATACACAATATTAGCTGAGTATTTTAAAACCTAAGCTAAAGATTGAATATGCAATCCACAGTTTAATTTAAAACCAAACCAATTAAAAAAAAACCCCAACCCAACAACACTTGTTACAGGTGCTGATCTGTGGAAATTTTAGGGGAATGAAAATCAAACCTGGCTCTATGGGAAAGCCGTCTCCAGGCTATGATGTCAAGGTATTGTATCTCTGGTGACTCAATCTTTCTCTCTCTTGCATGATCACTTTCCACTACAGAGGTTCGAAGCTCCCAGCTGGAGTTGTACCATGTACCATCCTTCAGCAGCGAATGAGAGAGGGAAGAAATGCATGGTAGAGCCCTAAACTGAGCGTGCAGAATAAGCAATCGGACTTCCCTGTTGCACCATCCTCACCAACATAGATGACATCCCACTGCTAACAGACAGTTAGCTATCAAACGTTAAGGCAATGACAGAAATTAAATTGCTGAGTTAAGGAAGAGTGGGAGTGAATGTTGTTTCCTGGTGATAACAAAATTGCTGAGGCACCAGATCAATTTGCACTACAGGTCAAGATTTTTAGCATCTTTCTTTCAGATCATAAGTTTTCCCACCCCGTAACTTACGATCCTCCCTGGGGTCTTACTGATGTCATTACGTGTTTGCATAGTACTTGGCATTCCTCAGATAAGACGTAGCACAAAGTACAGTGGATTAGTAAAGATCTTTTACACTTCAGTTGTCAGAGTAAGACCTCCTACTGCTCCAAATCATTTCCCAATTAAAAAAACCCCTTTGATTAAGTATTTTAAATGTGCACCAAGATTCTATAATCTTAACATAATGCTTTTCAGTTTGCATCCAAGATAATAAGACTGTGTTTTGTTTATTTTTAGATTATAGATGAAAACAGTAATATTCTGCCTCCTGGAAAAGAAGGTGATATTGCCATCAGAGTAAAACCTATGAGATCGCCTTTTCTTTTTACTTGCTATGCTGTAAGAATATTTCTACAGTTAAAGTAGATATCCTGTTAAATCTCTGTCACAAAGAATCTGATGCCCCTTTTAATTTACTTCTTATACTCTGCTTACCGATCTGAAAACCTGTGGGGAGCAAACAGGGATTTCCATTTTCTTCCTGCAGGTGCTTGGTCTACTTTACTTATACAAATAATTATGTGTTCAATGAGATTGTCCTGCCTAGCAAGTTAAAATCCACTTTATTTTGATTGTTACTTCCTTAATAAAAAGGGAAATGTTTGACAGACACCTCCCCCCCCAATCCCAAAATACTCCTTGGCCTAAGGGCTAGAGCCCCCCTCTGAGAAGCAGGACACTGCTCAAATCTCTTCCCTCCAGATTTGAGCTTTGTGGAGTGTTTCCATGCACAGCAACATTTTTTCAGGGGTTTTTTTTTTCCACATTGGTTTGAATTTTCAGTCCAACAACCAGTGGAACAAATGCATAGAAACCTTACTCGATTTTATGGATAGTACAGCGTACAGTCAGGTCTTCTGAGCAGCACTGGGCATGTGGGAAAGGAACATCACACACGCTGCCTAGAAAAAGTCTTGCTGTAGAAGGAGTGCTTTATTAATTGCGCTGTGCTGAGCCAAAACTTTTCTGAGGGTGAAAAAAATACCTCAGGATAGGAAATGCTAGAAAGACAAAGGAAAAAATCATTAAAGGGTAATCACCTCAAAGCAAAATCTCGGTTCCATGAGCCTACATATTTTTTGTAACCTTCAGTGGTTCCTAAAGCCATGGGGCATATTATGATTGAAATTTTAAGTCAGTCATGAGTAGTGAAACTTGATTTATTTATTGCAATTTATGAATTTTGTATCTAATTTAGTAGCTTAGTAATAGTGAATTAATAATTCTCTATTATTAATGTCCCACTTGAATCTGATGCACATGACCAGCGTGGACCCATCTCAAAAACCTGTAATTTTTTATTATTTGGCTGTACCCTAACTTACATACTAAATATGTTAGAATGCAATTTCCTGTATTTTTCAGGTAGTTTTCATGTAAAATGCAATTTCATATTTCCTAGGATGATCCAGAGAAAACAGAGGCAACAATACGTGGGGATTTTTATGTCACTGGAGACCGGGGGATTGTGGATGAGGATGGATACTTCTGGTTTGTTGGAAGAGCTGATGATGTCATTAATTCTGCCGGGTAATTTAAGACTGATTAACAATAAACCATTAAACTTGAACAGCACAGATGATTCAGATGTGAAGTTACGTTTTTGTGTTACCCATACAACTAAAACCCCTTTCCTCCATTTGAAAGATACCGCATTGGCCCGTTTGAAGTAGAAAGCGCCCTGGTAGAGCATCCTGCAGTGGTGGAAGCGGCAGTTGTCAGCAGCCCAGACCCCATCAGGGGAGAGGTAAACAAACAAGCTTATACATTTAAGTAGCTTTGTGCATACCAGAGCTAATAAAGCCCAACTGCCAAGGGATTTGTCTATCCAGGGATTATTTTTTTTTCTTTTTTAAATTAAAACAAAATAAATTCAAGTTGGCATTTCTACTTGTATCAGACACTGGAGAATCCACACAGGGAAAAAACTGACCAAGGCAATTGCCCCAAATGCAATATAACAAAAGCACTATTTGAAGCTTTCCCTGTCAGTTTTTAGTCTTTATTCAATGTATGTAATCTGCCTGCACAACCCAGACCAATAGGCAGCACCCACGGACTTTGGCACAGCTTTCTGTGCCTGCCCTATACATTATTCTGCAGCTTGTCCCCAAATGCGTGATTAAAGTTTCAAATCTTGCCGTTGTGTAATACTGTTTCGTTAGCATTTAAACCATTGCTGCCATAACTTCTTTAGGTAGTGAAAGCCTTTGTTGTTTTAACATCTGACTATGCTTCATGTGATCTGGAAAAAATGATGAAAGAGCTGCAAGACCATGTTAAGAAAGTTACCGCTCCATACAAGTACCCTAGGAAGGTGAGTGGTCAAATACCCAAATCATTTCCACTGCCATAAGACAGTGGGTGTTAACTCTTAGGTGGCTTACAAGCTTATGCCACTAAGGTAAAGAAAAAGTAAAAATTTAGGTAAACTGTATCTTACTTTGTATTGCAATTTCCTCCCTTTCCCAATAGATGGAGTTTGTTCAACAGTTGCCAAAAACTATTAGTGGGAAGATCAGAAGAAATGAACTGCGCCAGAAGGAGTGGAGAAAAGATTAGAAGTACTCGTTCCTTTTTTATAGGATTTTTTACAAAAAGTAAGACATTGCAGATTTACACAGTAACGTAGAGTAAAAGACATTATACTATAGTTATCTTAGTCAAACCTAAACTAAATTTGTACACGATTCCAGCATTTGGCTGAGGTGCTACACTAATAGCTAACAGTAGAAAAGCAGGCAGGCTCATGTAGTCGAGAGCGCAATAGGTGATGTATGTTAAATAAAGTATTTAATGAGGCATCACCAGCATTTTATCTTTATTGTTATTTAAAGGATAAAAACCCAGCAAGAGTTTGAGAACACTATTGCTTGAAGAATCACTTCTGAGAAGTACGACAACTTCTAAATCTATTTTTAAAAGTCAGCTATAATCTTTACAAGTATATTTAGCAAAAAGTGTAAATAAAATCTGTATCCTTAAAGTGTTCTTTAAGAACTGGACTAGTAAAGAATTTAAAATACATGATAAAACAGAAATTTAAGATTTGTAGCAACAGCTGCTTATACTTTAATTCTAGCTCTTAATAGTTTTATCTGTTATCTGTTTCTCTCTCACACTCCATTAATGAGATCCTTTATGATATATTGATATTTTTGTATGCTTGAGCAATTTCCATTACTATGTTAACTGAGCAGTGTCATTTTTGTCCCGTTCTCAGAACCTATATCTGACATCATTTGACTGTCCTGATTATATTACACATGATCAACTTAAGATTTGGACAAAAATTATCAATTTTCAAGTTCTCATAGAGGGTCTAAGAGACAAATGCTTTTTGTTGGAAGAATTTCCTAAATTACTGGCGTAAGTTCCAAGAGATGTCAAAGCATCTGCATTCAGGGTGAGACCATTAGATTTCTCTTTCAGAAGCGCATGCTCCCACTTGAAGTAGCTGCAACCTTTCTTATTACCTTCGTGCTTGCCAACAGGACAACAAAAGAACCCTTTGCCATGATTTGGACCACCGTTTGACACATGCAGTTTTTTAGCTCTTCGACCACAGTTGCACAGAGGGGGAGTTGGTTTTCCATTTTTCACAGCTCTTACAGACTGATTCAAATCAAGTGTGGAGTTCAGAATGGCGGGAGACACTTTGGGCAAACTTGAACTTCTTACAGGTAAGGAATGATCAAAAGATGCAGTTTTCTCTTCATATATAGCAAAAGACTGTTTTTTTGCTGGTGGGAACATTTTTGGACTAGTTGGCTTTCTTTTAGGAATCTCCAAAGGAGTAGAATAATTTCCAGTTAATGCTGGTTGTGCTGAAATAGCATTGACCCTTGCAGATGGTGACTTAAAAGCTGAAAAATTTGAAGTCTGCCTTTGTACTGTTCCTACATTATAGACAGTAGTATCAGGACTTTTATAAACAATAGATTTCACGGGTTCCACAGGTATTACGGTTCTCCCCATACTATGATTATCTGAACTCATCACAGCCAATTGTTTCGAAATTGGTTTTTCTTCAAACTCTGTTAAAATATCTGTATTTGAGTCATCTTTGACACAGGCTGAATTTTGTTGATATTGAGATTCTGGTATTAAAGCGACATCTTCCCAGTCAGTCAGCAGCGATAAGCAATCGGAAGTAGTACTGATATCCTCACTGGAGATATTAACTGAGGAGATGGTAGTGGAGACGAGCACTAGTCCTGATCCGCATGCTGGAGGGCCACACCTGGCTATACTCGGAGGGTGCCCTTTGCCCAATACTTGCCGAATGCCTGCTGATACCGTACTGGGAGATTGCTGCGCCTGCGCAAGAGGAAGAGGAAATCCGTCAGGAGATGCTGTGGAAGAGCTTTGGGCTTGAGCACATAACTTGGTCCTTGAGCTGCTCCTAGGTACAAGGCGGATGTCTGCAGAGGAATCGACGCAAGTGGTCTGTTGTTCTTCAGTTTGTACATTAGAATTTATCTTAATTCCAGCAATAACGTTCTGGCTTTCCTCAGCCAGAGAGTTTGTTTCACAAGTTCCATCTCTAGATGTTTCAGGTCTGCTGTTACTTCCCAGTGGAGTCTTGTCAATGAAGTTTATAGTCGGTGTTCTGGAAATTAAATTATTCTTTGGATGTGCCTAGGGAGTCCGTAAACAAGACAAGATTTTGGAAAGTGAATACCCAGAAGTTTTAGGAATCAATGCACAAAATTAATAACTGTATCAGCCTAGGGATGTTCTGTTCAATTCATAGTCAAGATGCTGGGTTTATTATTTGAATAGCTCATCTTTCCTCTGCATTCCAGGCTACAAAGCAAATAGAAGTGAAGATATGAAGTAGTTACTAACCTTATCCAAAGATTTAGTAACCTTCAGCACACATCCATCACAAATCAGCCTCCACGCAAGACGGGCAGTATTCCGAGAATCATCCAACCCTTCAAAAGTACGGCCATATTAATGTCTTCTTTTTAAACTGCTACTGGGGATAGTTCTTATTAGAGGAAAAATGAAATCTAGGTGAGCCTTACATAAATGACAGGGATTCACAGAACTCCGGCACATAGTTATCTAGTTCAAAAAAGGGAGGCGGAAGTAAAAAACTCCAAAAAATTCCCTGTGCTAAAACATCTGAAGGGCCAATCTGGAGACCTGAATTTATATCCTCAAGTTTTAAAATCCTTGCTCTGATTCATTAATCATATTTTGCTGGTATTGTCTTAACACTAATATGCTGTCCAGAGCTATTGGGTAAAATCAAGTTTCCTTATCCTTCCTCCACCTCTTTTCTTTTGTGCCCTAGCAATTCAGAGATTGATCACATTGAGCATGCACTCGATAGCACTAGGAGAGATTTCAGAAATAAAGCATGTGGTTAGAAATAGCAAACTCTGGTCTTTGAAGCATCTAGCCTTTCTTCTTTTGATGTTTTTGTTGGCCAGAACATTGCATAACCTGGAAACAATAGTTACTATTTAGAGTAGTGGCTAGCTATTACTAGCTACTCTAGTTTAGCTAACTAAAGTTAAATAGTAGCTACTTAGCTTTATAAAATATATATATATATATA